AGCTTAATTAGGGAGAAAGACACCCAGGGCTGGCAATGCCTATATGTAGGTTGTATACCGTACAAACACACGGCCAGGAGGTCAATGCGACTAAAATTCAGCCCTAAGCCAAGAGCACCTCCTGAATCTGCCCAGAGGGATGAGGGATGTCTTTCTTTTTTTTTTTTTTTTTTGGGGGATGTCTTTCTAATTCTCACGAGGCACCAGAGCTTACCAGTTGGCCCAGAAGACATCTACCATCCTCTAATCTGTTTGGACTGAATGAATTAAACTGCCCGTTACAATCTAATCTGATTTAAAGTTGTTCTTAAACTTTAGCCAGAATCATCTGGAGGGCTTGTTAAAACACAGATTGCTGGGCTAGACCCCCAGAGTACCTGACTCAGCAGGTTTGAAGCGGAGCCTGAGAATTTGAATTTCTCACAAGTACCCAAGTGGGAACTGATGTTCCTGGCCGGGGGACCTCACTTTGCACCAGTGCTAAAAGCTACAGGCAAAGGGTTTTTGTTTGTTTGCTTGTTTTTTAACTTTGGACCTTTTCCATGTTTACTAATGCGAGCCTCACTGAGCCCATACAGACCAAAGAAAAATAAGCAACTTCAGGTAGCCAAAACTGAAGGCGGTCAGTGACACACCCATTTCCCTGAAGGGCCCACAGTCCCTTGCATCACCTCCACTAGGGGGCTGAGAAGGCAGTCTGTGGGCAGGGCTATTTCCATTCATTTGATTGAGTGAGTGTCTGCATCTAAGGAAGGAGCCACTGTTTTCCTGGCAAGCAGCTCAGCTGGGGGCAAGGGTGCCAGTGATTTACATGAAATTGATGGCATGGTTCTTAGACCCTCTGGCTGAGTGAAAAGGCTGCTTGTTTTGGTTGGAGCTAAGATTGTGTATACAGGGGGTGGAGACCTTCTCTGGGGAGCACACACTCCCCCATGATCTAGATCCACTAAACCACACACTATTTTTCTGCACTCAGATACAGAAAGGCTTTTTGTCAATAGCCTCCTTGAGTTGTTAATGTGTCCACCTAAGCCATCCTGAGTAAATAGGTAGTTCTCCTCTGAGAGCTCTCCAGGACTGGAGGCCTCTATTTTCCTCTGATGCATTAGTCTAGTTTTGGGCCCCTGTAATAGTCTGAGGATTTTTTTTTTTTTTTTTTTGGACTAAAAGTCTTTAAGTCTCTTCCTCGCCCCTGGTGTGAAAGAAAAGAGTCGGCTTCCATTTTTTGTACCCGAGCCATTCACTTACTGGATGCCCATCCACGTTTTTTTTTCTTTTTTTCTATATCCTGCCTCTGCTCAAACCCTCTTTTCTGATCAAGAGGCTTGCAGTGTTTTGTCCTCTTAATCAGGAACCAGCTACCCTTTCTGATGCTGCCTTTTCTGGAAAGTCCTCTATGGCATTCTGGCTCTAGAGAGAAATCTATTAAAGTGCCCTGTCTCTTGGTCTTCAAAGTGGCAGATTCTTGGCCCTTGAGGTCATTCACTTGCCAATTTAATTTTTGAATATCCTTTTGATATTCCCTTAGTGTTGGTGGCAAGGACACCATGAGCTTAGAGGAGCCCAAGTTGGGAGAGACCAGTAGTTCTTAAGGTCTCTGCTCCCTTTCTAAGAATCTGAGAAAAGCTCCCCTGGGGAAAAACAAACAAACAAACAAAAACCAACCAGAAAGATTTGTTTCATCATCAGGGGAAGTCATCACAGCAGACTCTCCCCCTACCTGCCTCACAAAGACAACTATGGGAGATGTCATGAAAATGTGGCAAGCCAGGGTACCTGCTGCTTGCGAGCAGCGTCTTGGGGGGCCGTGGGGGGCTGGCGGTGTAAGAAAGAAATGACGATCTTTCAAAAGAAATCTCTTCCAGAGGTCTGCCTTTGGACAAACCCAAGGAGATGCATATGCTCTTTGAAGATGCGGATCTGGGAAAAATGCAACAAAACAAAACAAAAACCCCAAACAAACAAACAAACAAACAAAACCCTCCAGAACCACGTCTTTTAAGTGTGGCCCAGAAATAGCTAACAACATCGTTGTCTTTACCCGTTCAGTCCAACGTAGCTTTTCACTTTAAATGTGATACCTGCTGCTAAGAGGGAAGGAGGGATTGCTGGAACAATGACAGAAAAGCACCAAAATGCAATCTAGGTTACACTCGGAACAAATTCAATGTGACTTAGGGAGAGGCCAAGGAGGAGGGCATTTCATTAGACGATCAGATCCAACCCAAGTCACCAACTGGATGTGTTTGTTTCTATTTATAGTCAAGGACACTAGCCTCTGACAACTGATTCTGGGAATGTAAGAGATTTGTGTGGACCAAGCAACAGTGCCTGAGGATCTGGAAAGGGTGGTCCATCCATCATGGGATGAAGCAAACCTGATCTTCATTTATTGGAAATGGGCAGAACTTGTTTTACTCCTCCCAAATCGTGAAAAAAAAAAAAAGAAAGAAAGAAAGAAAAAAAGAAAGAAAGAACGAAAAAAGCCACAACAGTCTCAGTTAGGATGAAGGGGCACCTATATGCCTCTGCCTTTGAATTCTTGCAGAATCCTCATGTTTTTGGTGAGGGGGTGTTTCAAGTGTTCTCTGAATCAAAGGACTGCTTTTACTTGATATGATGCTTCAGACAGTTTTGATCTTGAATCAAAGTTTGGGATAAATTAGGATGGGCTTGAAACCCATCCAAGAGAGAATTTTGGAGCCCTGTTTTATCAGGTATGCCAGGATCAAACATACTGAGGTCCTACTTATTAGTGAAGAACGAAGTACAGCTGACCCTTCAATAATGAGAGCGTTAGGGACGCCAACACACACTCTCCCCCACCGAATTGAAAATCCACGTATCACTTCTGACTCCCCCAAAACTTAACTACTTTATAGCCCACTGTTGACCGGAAGCCTCACTGATAACATAAGCAATGGATTAACACATATTTTGTACACTCTATGTAATCAATTCTATATTCTTACAATGAAGTAAGCTAGAGAAAAGAAAATATTAAGAAAAATCACAAGGAAGAGAAAAAAAAGAAAATCATAAGGAAAACACATTTATAGTACTATACTTACTGAAAAAAATCTGCATATAAGTGGATTTACACAGTTCAAACCCATGTTGCTCAAGGGTCAGCTGTATCATGGTTATTTTAGACAAAGCTTCTATCATTATATTCTCCCCCATCATGTTCCACAGACAGTGCTATTTCTACTTCAGGGGGCAATAGTCCTGCCTTTGTTGTCTTTTTAGGTAGCATTTGAAGCCAGATGGACTGAAGCCCAAATCAACAGGTTATGAAGTTGTTCTGGAAGTTATTTTGGGGAAGTTGACTTACCATACCACTCATCAACCCATGCAAAAGCCTGTCTATGTCCAATCAGCAGAATATCCCGGACCACCTAGAAAAGTAAAAGAAGGAAGTTGAAATAATATCACGTTTGATGAAAACTACCTGGAAAATAGATTGTTCCCAATCCTAGGAATCCTGGCAATTATAAATTTCTCCATCCTTCTGTCCATGTGATGGCAAATACAGTCTCACATACACAGATCATGGGCTCACTCACCTGCTCAGCCCTTTCATGGCATGCTACACTTGCTATAAATTAATCTCTTCATCTTCATTGAAAGTTGGACTGGGAGTGGGTACACACTAAAGACAACTGGTTGGCAGGCACACAGCAATGACTGGAATGAATCTCTAGGCTAACCATCTTGAGCTTTTTCTCTTCATTTATCTTTTTTAAAAAATTAATTAATTTATTTATTTGAGAGGGAGAGAGCACAAGCATGGGGAAGGGCAGTGGGAGAGGAAGAAGCAGGCTCCTTGCTGAGCAGGGAGCCTGACATGGGACTCGATCCCAGGACCCTGGGATTATGACCCGAGCCGAAGGCAGACGCTTAAACGACTGAGCCACCCAGGCGTCCCCTCTTCCTTTACCTGAAACAGGTTCAACTTTTCATTTGTGGGAGGGTGTCTCTCACTATTGCTAAGAGGTCATGAATGTTGGAAATCTAGAATGCTTTTCTGGGTAGCAAGTGACTTCTAAGCAAAGAGCACTTAGTCTTTGATGAAATATCCTAAATATTGGTCAAAATTTTTTTTTAATATTTGAAGGTGTGGGTTACAAGATAAGTAAATATCTTTTTGGGCGTGACTTTCATGTAGTAGAAGGGGGAAAAAAGCAGTTTAGTCAACTATGATAGACAGAAATAAAATAGAGACCTCAACTAGCATAGAACATAATGGGAATGCTAAGAGACAAATAGAGACAAAAGGAATGAAATTGTTTCTTATGGTGACACATAATGGCCCTAGAAGACTAAGAAAGATCCATGGTTTGTGTGTGTGTGTAACGCTGTTCATGTGCCTTGATTTTATGGTATTCTTGGTGTCCTCTATAAATACGCCGTGTTACGTTTCTTGGATACTCACGCGCTCCCTTCAACATTCCTTTCTTCCTGCCAAACAAATCTAGCAATTGTCAAAAACCTTTTGTGAAAGGTTCAAGCACGTTTCAGTAAATGAAAGATTTTAATCTGGTGAATTTGCAGAAACAAGGGAAGCATTTATAATGATGTGTTTACTTCTCCACGCCTCTGGATATCTAGTGAAGCTTTTATGATGCGGAAGGAGGAAATATGTCATGAAAATAAGAAACAACATGAAACCATACCCACTTGAATGCTGACTGTGTCAAATTCATGGAAATGAAAAGAACAGCATCGGGGCATCAGTAAAATATACCCTATTACATTAAGCACAACACAGCTGTCTGCTGGAAACAAGAATTCAATAATGTGCTAATGGTTCGCTTTCAAACATTTTTTTTTCCCCTTAACTGTGAATAGATTCTTAAAAAACAAAGGTGTTCAGATAAAGCCGTCCCTGGTACTTTAAAACCATGCAAATACTAGCCTCCTATACTCATTAGCAACTCATGTGCCAGAGCAGGTGTGTTTTGGGGGCGTTGATAACACTTCCTTATATTTGGAAATGGGCAATAGGAAGGCCTTTTCCTAGAGCATAATTCCTACAGGTATTTTAAAGAAACAGAATCTCAAAACTAGCCAAAGTCACCTGCAAGAAAAGAAACACAGTGAGCCCTACAGCAATCTAAATAGGCTTTGTGAAAGGAGGACATGCTAAGTGCACTATATGGTGGCCTAGTAAGAGATCATTTGGGGTTAAAAAATAAGAGGGGGTGGGGTGCCTGGGTGGCTCAGTCAGTTAAGCGTCTGACTTTTGGTTTCGGCTCAGGTCGTGATCTCAGGTTCATGGCTCAAGCCCTGTGTCAGGCTCTGCGCTCAGTGTGGACTCTGCTTGGGACTCTCTCTCCCTCTGCCCCTCCCCTCCTACTCTCTCTCTCTCTAAAATAAACAAATTACATCTTAAAAAAAAATACGGTGGGGTAGACGTTACAGGAAGTCAAGGAAGATACAGCCTAAGCCAAACACAGAGCTGAGGCTGGAAGATATTTACTCTGGGAGCATCTTTGTGCTTAATAACTTGGGACACAGGGAAACAGGTGGTTCCCCCAAACTTGATTTCCACGTGTCTCACTCGGCTCCTGCTTCTGGGTGGGCAGAAGAGGTTCTGGAGTGCAGCAAAGGAGCAGATCGACACACTTCTCTGTTTAAGAAAACACCAACGCGGGCGCCTGGGTGGCTCAGTTGGTTAAGCGACTGCCTTCAGCTCAGGTCATGATCCCAGGGTCCTGGGATCGAGTCCCGCATCGGGCTCCCTGCTCTGCGGGGAGCCTGCTTCTCCCTCTCCCACTCCCCCTGCTTGTGTTCCCTCTCTCGCTGTGTCTCTCTCTGTCAAATAAATAAATAAAATCTTTAAAAAAAAAAAAAAAGAAAGAAAACACCAACGCTCTCAAATATGTTCTAGAGTTTGCTATTATCATGAGCCAAAGTTCCATCTATTCCTTGGACCTCAAAACTTTATACATTTTATTGCCAATTTGCCACCAATCTTAGTAGACAAATCCATCTAAGTAACACAAAGCTCAGTGCATAACGGCTAAATTACAGGGCCCCTGAAAGAATTTCAGAAAGCTATTCTTTATCAGTTTTTAAGTGGAAAAATAAACAGATATCCAGCTTATCTGGAATGTAGAGACAACTCGGGGAGTATTTATTTTTATGAAAATGGGAGGCGTTACAAAGGGCAATGCTCAACATTGCATTTTCCATTTGTTTCCATGAGGGTAAGAGTCATGTCAGAAGCCCCTAACAAACTTAAATCATCACTAAGTCTTGCTCCTGTGGCAAAATAAACATGTTTAGCTAAAGTGGGTATACAATTGGAATCTGTGTTTTGAGGTTGTTAATAATTCTTTGGTAACAGAATTATTAAATGACCAGAAATACTGAGGTGCACCATCTAAAGGACCACTGGGATTTCTTATTTTGTCTCTTGGGTTGTCTTACCTTAGGTATCTATATTTGCAGGATCTTTTTTGTTTTGTTTTGCGAGGGAGGGAGAGAGCACATGAGCAGGGAGGGAGGTGCAGAGGAAGAGGAAAAGAGAATCTTAAGCAGGCTTCACGCCCAGGACGGAGCCTGATGTGGGGCTCGATCTCACGACCCTGAGATCATTGACCTGAGCCGAAATCAAGAGTCAGACACTTAACCAACCGAGCCACCCAGGCGCCCCTATATTTGCAGGATCTTTTGAGTGACAATTATCTTGGGGGCCGCACACACACATCAGCCCTGTGCCTCTGCCTGGAACCCAAGTACCCGAGTACCAAGTACAAGTACTTCTGTCTGCAACTAGATTAGCCTGATGCCAAAGGGAAGAAGTATTTAGTATTGAAAGTCTAACTTCCTGAATATACTCATCCAATAGATGTAGAGGTCACAGAATGAGAAATGAGGTACAAAGCATCAAATTAAACCTGTATGTAAAGTGCATTTTCACAAAAACAGTGTTTTCCAGATACAGTGATGTCATGCTGGCTCAGTACTGGGCGTGTGTTGTATGTCGTGCACTCCAGCTTACAGTAAAGACAGTCACTGTGTCCACAGTCCAGGAACTGCCATTCGTTCACTTACCTTGTGTACAAATTGTTCCACCCTGGTCTGAAGCCCCCAGACCTCGAACTTCACGGTCACCAGCTTGTAGGAACACATGATGGGCTGATGACTATCTCTCCAACCTTCCCTTAATTGTCCCCGTCCTGTTTTCTCTGACTTGAAGTGCTTGGGATCCTGGAAAAAACAACAACAACATATCAAAGAAATGGTAACTTAAAAGTTTAACCATCATTTAGAGGAAATGTCCAGAATGGGCAAACCCGTAGAGACAGCAAGATTAGTGGTTGCCAGGGGCTGGGGTGACTACTAATGATAAAAGGGTTCCTTTTGGGGTGATGAAAATATTCTGGAATTAGATAGTGGTGGGAGCTGCATCACTTTTGTGAATATACTAAAAACCCCTGAATTGTACACTTAATTAAAAGGGTGAATTATTTACATCTCAATCAGAAAGGGACTTTGCAATGTAAATAAATGCTAAAACGATAGCGGTCTATTCACATGTCAAAAACGTGACTTATTTATTTTTAATTTTTATTTATATTTTTTAAAGATTTTATTT